CACACACACACACACATACACTGCAGTGGACAAACCAGCATCTGTGTATAGCAGGGCTCTCATAAATGATCAACGTGGATAAAGCAGCTTTCATTATGACCCAATAACATGTACAGAGGGGCTAAATAGTCAAATGTAATGCAGCTGCAGAATCAATATACAGAGACTGTGACATTTAACTGTAACGTTTATCCAACATCGATGAGTGTTTGTAACAGCTGTGCATTATGCACGAGCTCTGTATTCAAGTCGTTTTAGCCTGATGAACTCAGCCAATACTTACAGCATCCATTTAACTACTTTGCCTGGTCTTTGTATGTAATTTCATATGTGCAAGACTGATGTTCACGTTTTCAATGACTGACTGTGTCATAAAGGCAGTGGATGTAAATCACAGTCAGAGTGTATGTGCATTGTGCTAAATAGGTCAGCCCATGCAGGGTATTTGCACAGAGACGGACAGAGAGGTGCTTCAGGCAGGACTCCTCTCACAATAGACCCTCTGCTTTCTATGCAATAAAAAGACATTAGATGCACTCATGAGTACCAACACACAAAAAAGTACTATTAATATTACTAATAACTGCCAACTTTGGACAGTTTTATAACATCCCCCACATGACAAATAACATCAAATTTATCTTCTGTTAAGGGTTTTCAATAAAGACACACACACACACACACACACACACACACACAGGTTGAACCTAGTGTGGTCTGATCATGTGATATGTGTCCTATCAGTTCATAGGCTGGTTGCTCTGTTCTGCTCCACAGGCCACAACATAATAGGCAGAGTGCATCAATCTTTAACGTGACATTTAGCACAGACAAACCACACACACACACACACACTGGATGTTACTTAAGTTAGGGTAAATGCTGATAGGAGTATGTTTGTGATCCTTCACTTTGCCTCCTCATTTCTCTCGCTCTCTCGCCGTGCCTCGTGTCCTTTACATGACCTTTTGTTACCTTTCCTCTCGCAGTTGTATCTTTAAATGATAACATCCGTGTAACTTTCACTGAGTCCTCTGCCACGATCTTTTTTTTTTATGTCGTGCTGTAATTTTACTGGATGTAAGAAGCACAATTAAACGACAAACACGGCACTTGAGGGAAACGACTGCTTCTTCTTCCTCTCTACCCCACCCACTCGCTCTCTCTCTTCCTACCTACACATGCACTCAGCATTAGATAGACCCAGTAATGGCGATTGACTGTAATAGGCGGGGTATGATTGCACGAATAAACAGTAGTGCGTATGTGTTTAAGTTCACGTGTTGTGTTTAAAGCGGTGTAGCAGCTACTAATGACTCATGTATTGATCTGGTCTCAGTAAATCAGGGATCTGCTGACGCAAACACAAAGACAAATATATTTGTTGTGATGATTTGGTGCATCTGTGGGTGTCACTACAAACACTTTGTGTCTACAGCCACCAAAGGGATGGTTAAACTCAGGGTTCCCCTACTGAGCCGACAGTCTTATCAAACGGGATTTCTAGTTTTTTCCTCGAAATTCACAAAATGCTAAAGTTTACTGTCTGTTAGGGGTGGGGGGAAAAATGGATACTGTGTAGCATGGTGATATTTTGTTTCTAATAATGTATGGATACAGGGACAGCAGAAATCGATACTTTGTTACAAAAAGGTTTTTGTGCTCTGACTTCAGAGCATGTTGATCCTTTTTCTG